CATCTCCCAACCCGGCGGCAGCGCCTCCAACAGCTCCGCCATAGTAATCGCGCGAAACACGCTCTACCCGGAGACCAAAACCGACGGCAACGGCTCCCACAAATTCACCATCTTCACCTCAGCCCACGGCCACTACTCCGTCGAAAAAGCCGCCAACCTCTTCGGCCTCGGCTCCAAGAACGTCATTGCCGTCCCCGTCGACGACCGCGGCTGCATGATCCCGTCTGAATTCGAACGCTGCGTAAAAGAAAGCAAAGACCGCGGCGAAACACCCTTCTTCCTCAACGCAACAGCCGGAACAACCGTCCAAGGTTCTTTCGACCCATTCCCTGCTCTCAGCAAAATCTGCAAGGAACAGAATCTCTGGTTCCACATCGACGGCTCATGGGGCGGAAGCGTGGTCTTCAACGAGAAGTACCGGGAATCGAGGCTCAAGGGCGCTGAACTCGCGGACAGTATCGCTATCAACCCGCACAAGATGCTCGGCGTACCGATGACATGTTCCTTCCTCCTTGCTCGCGACATGAACACGTTCTACCGCGCACTCACACTGCCAGCGGGCTACCTCTTCCACAACGCGCCCGGTACCGACGCAGCGGATATCTACGACCTCGCTGATCTGACACCTCAATGTGGTCGGCGCGCCGATAGCTTGAAGATGTTCCTTGCGCTGCAATACTACGGCCCGCAGCACTTTAGCGATTTGGTCGCTCATGGATACGAGAACGGGGAGTACCTTTTGAGCAAACTGAAGGAGAATGGCAATTTCAAGACGATTAGCCCGGAGCCCCTGCCGTGTCTGCAGGTGTGCTTTTATTATGCAAAGGGAGGGCAGTTGAAGGAGGATGCGGACGCGAATAGTAAGGCGACGACAGATATTGCTAATAGGCTTATTAGCAGGGGCTTCATGATTGACTTTGCGCCGGGTGAGAAGGGCAAGTTCTTCAGGGTTGTCGTGAATGGAGGGTTGATCAAGGGGACGCTGGATGGGCTTGTCAAAGCGCTGGAGGAGACGGCTGCGGACTTGGGATACTGAACATGTTAAGATGAGGAAGAGGAGATGGCAAAAGTCACACAAGCGATTAGGGTCAAGTCATCGTATTGAAAAACATTCATTCATTTGAGAATTGGATATCTATGTTACATGATGCTCGTATCTCGTAATCATACCCATAGCATGGTAACACCAGAAATGATCTTCCACGCACACTTACGCAGCACTAGGCCACGGGTGCGTCAGCAAGAAAAATGGCAGAAGTGATGGATGTATACAGCTGCTTGTTGAGAGATGCAATAAGAAAGATGCATGTCGCAAGACGCAGTCTGCGATATCATTCCAACGATGTGGTAGCTTCCTTCAGGATAGCTAGTCGAGTACACCCCAGTAGCGCTCCGCGTTGAAGGTTGACGCAGAGTCAGCTTTCCATTCCGAGTCATAGGCACTGAAGAAGAACAGATCGCCATTGAAACTCGCGCGGAGGGAATCGAGGGCGATTCGTTGGTTCTCAGGCGAGGGGACGGCCGCACCATTTGCATTACCCTGGCGAGGCCAGCCGGACTCAGTGACAATAAGGCGCTTGTTACTGCATGCGGCTTTTACACGCTCGACTTGACTCTTGACAAATGTACCAGCATCCTGAGCTTGGGTGTTCCGGTCGAAGAAGGCGTGGATATTGACCATGACCACATCTGAAGCGCCGCAGATGGCAGGGTTGTCAAGCGTAGCAGGAGCGGTCTCGACTGCGCCCACAGGTCCGTTGTAACCGACGCTTCGTAGCTGGGTGCGGGCTTGACCGATTGCGTCGACAACTTGTGAAGATGTCATTCTCCGTTCGTTGACGCGCTCGTTCTCGACAGCGAAGAGTTGGATAACATCCCAATTGCCGCCGGCATACTGGTCAATGGCGCTCTTGTAGGCTTTGATGACCTGGCTGAGATCTTCACCACCGCCACTGGGATCTAGATACGCGCCGCCCATGAGCTTTTGGCCGTTCTTCTGGGCGTTCTGAATTGCAAGTGGGATCTGATTGCAGTCCATGCCATAGATGCGGATGACTTTGTAGTCCTTCATGCTACTGAATTCGCTAGCAACTTCATCCGGGGTCTTGCAGTTGGCGGAGCTGCTATACGCATCCCAAGTTATACCCAGAGGTAGAGTTCCAGCAGCAGCCTTGTCGACAGGGATGTCCTCGGGCGGGGACGCTAGTTGCGGGGGCTCAGGCTCTTGAGTAGGAGCTGGCGGCGCAGGTGACGGTGACGGTGACGGTGACGGTGTCGTGGTCGCACCCTGAACGTCGACAGCAGTAGGCTCTGCTAGCAGAGAAGCAGATGTGGAAGACGTTGGTAAGGGAGCTGGCTCTGGCACGGCTGATGAAGTCTGCGGAGGCTCGACAGTTGACGACGTCGTCTCAGCTGTGATCGAGGGCACAGTGACAGGTGAAGTGAGGATTGTCGAAGTCGCAGTTGAATAGGGTGCGCCTGCGTCATTGACGAAGACAGCAACTTCAGCCATGACTTCGGTGACGAAGACTACCTCAGTGACAACCTTGCGCTTATGATCTGTACCTTGTTAGTGGACGATGTGTCATATACAGGCAGCGATGTGACTGCAGCCTCAGCGCAGCAGGCGAGACTATCGTCACAGTATGCTGCAAGTGAAGAGAATTCCGGTAACTCACTGAGTGGACGTCCGCTCGCAGAGCTTACTAGAAAGCCGGCGGCGGCAAGAGCGCTCGCGAAAACGATGGACTTCATGGTGATGATGAAGCGAGTGTTATGGGATGTTTAAGCTGGGTATACAACGTAAAGGTGCTGGGTGTGGGAATGTTGTGGGTTGTTTGGGTGAAGCCGTGCAGCGCAGCGGATGTATAGGTGCGAGGAATGAGTGAATGACTGCCTGCAGCTGAAAAGAAGGAAAGACCGACTGGGTCAATCTAGGGAAGCTGGGAACCAACAGAAACTGTAGAGACTGTAATCGGCGTTGAAGAGGAAGCGCATTCGGTGTTGACGACTAGGTATTGTTGCGCTGTTGTGGTACCTTTGCCTGCGCTAGCACCTTCTGGGCCTTAGGCGACGCCGTTTGGGCAATCGCGACGAACGGCGAAGGTATTCATGGATCGTCCTGCAGGGTCCAGATATCGTGGTCGCGACTGCCTTAAGAGACACGATGAGGGATGAAACGCCAACCCCAGGTTATGATAAGGAGCACGAACTGAAACCTCAACCTGCCCCAGGCGCTGGGCCACAAACATTTGGACGACTAGAACGAAGTGGAGAAGGAAACAATGTAGGTGGGAGCAGTCAACACAATTAGGAGTTCGTTGGCTAGGAACATGGGTTCTCAACACCAAGAGTACTGGGGAGTGTAAACGCGGAGAAGCCAAGTGAAAGGTAGACTTGGACAAGATCATGACTGTATGAGTGGATTAGAAAGCTCTCGTTATAGGCACAGCTGGTTATTGGAAGACAGGCCAATTCAAGTAACCACGTTGGCTGGTCGTTTACAGGCCGGTATACGGATGCAACTACGATAGCTTTAGTCTTCATGCAACAAGTGTGATGTATTTGACAGCGGCATCTGTCAACATATAGTGCGTGTTAAATGCTGTCCATATTTTGCGAGGCAAGTACGTCGACACCCACCACCAGTCCCTCGTTCTGATCAATCGAACGAGCGCCGCAAAGTCTCGTAAAATGTCAAGGAGCGCAAATTTGGAATGAGAGCAGTTTGAAAGCGAAGAAAGGAAACCGAAGCGAAAGAAAGGGACACGGCGAAATGCATGATGACTCGAACGATAACACTGAGAGGGGAAACATACCTGGGTACGCATAATGTTCGTGTGTGAGTAGAAACACAGAGTGAGACGAACACATGGCAGTTCAGATCAAGCGTCCACAAGGCGCGCCCGACGTGCTAAGTAGGCCGTGACTTTCAAAAGAGAGATGCGACTCCAAGAAGAAACGAAGGGTCAACAGGTCTTTAGCCTAGAGGATGCTACTCACTTGAAACCAGCTGGAGACAACGGCCTTCGACATCTCTCACGAACTGAGCGAAGATTGCAAAATGCGCGCATCGTAAGCCACGCATGCAGCTTCAAAGAAGTGTCGCAAATGTTGTAGGACTTTACAAGTAATAGTATTGTGATGAAGTGAGTTTGGCTGAAGACAAAAAGGAGGCCCGCAGCCTGCAGGCCGTCGCCCTGATGCGGGGCACGTGTGCCACAAGCCCGGCGAACCCCTTTGACCTCAAGCGCGGGGCTCTCGCTCACTCACCTACCGCACTTGCCTTCTTACCTTCTGACCTCCTTTGGGGTTGACCTCCTACAGAAGCGAGACGTACAGAAGCCGGACGATGCATTGCGACACGGGCGCGAAAGAAAGCACGAGTCGAACACATTCCGCACAGGCAGCAGCGCACGGCCAGCGCTTCCCTCTCTGTTGCCGACCGTGGGTTTCGCCTCCCGCACTGGCCCTCGCTTCGTCTAGCACCTGCGCTGGCTCCACCAGCATCATCAGCAACCTTTGCTCAGTATATATAGCTAATATTTTCAAGGTATCAATGTGCAGTGCGAGGATTTGTACGAACTCATTTCTTGCCTTTTACCAGAAGTGACCGCGAGTCCCGCACAACACTGCACTTACTCAATCTTTGGAAACACCTCACCCTTCGTGGGTTCGAAACTCTGTTTTTGCACTTTTCTTTTTGCCTTTTTGCCCGACCCACACGAGCATTCACTCTACTCCGACAACGTCACAACTATCTTTTGGATACCTATTTCCTGTCTTCATCTTTTTGCGCATCTCGAGCATCTCAATTTGGCCGGGATGCTGCAGCAGTCTTGCAATTCGCGGTAGACATCAGGTGTAGGTATCATGAACCCACCCAGAAATCTGGTACTCCCAGTCTCTATAGACATAATATCAACATCATGACCCCTCCTATCATGACACGTGAACTTGTTTGAGTTCGGTACGCTTAACGCGACATCGCACAATAAACCATGCATCGTATTTTGCGTGAAGCACACATCCACGTCCTCACTCACCGCAGTTATGGACGCAGCGCAGAGCATAAACGGTAAGTTACTCGTGCCCACATCGCTGTGCAGTTGGCTAACAGAGCTCTACCAACAGAGAACGCTTCTTTCCTCTACGGCCATGAGCATCAGTACCAGATTATCATCCTTCCAACATGCACATGCGAAAAGGGATATAGGGCCCTCCTCATCGCTAAATACCGTGAGGCTGACCAAGCCGTTATTGCAGTCAATGATGGCGCTGTGTTCCACGGCGATACCGTCGTTGGAGGTTTGCGACGTGCAAGTAAGAGAGCAGCGGTAGACGCACTGAGCCACCGACTTATGTCGCTCGTTGGATATCTTAGCTGTAAGTCTTCCAGGCACAGGTGCTACGGCGTGACGAACTTGCGAATGCTGACATTATGTAGATAGGGCTGGCCTCAAAGACGGCGATACCTTCGTCACCAGGTACAAGAACGGTCGCACTACGATTCGTGTCAAACATCCCGATGGAACAAGGTCGAAGGCAACGATGAAAACTGGGGATATCAAGAGAACAGTTCCGGCCTGTAGTGCGACTCTTTCGAACGGAAGCGATGTTACGTGCTGTGAGAAAGAGCGCGAGAGGCTAGAGTGCGAGAGCCAGAAAAGGGAGGTCGAAAGACATAACAAGAAGATCGATAAGCAATTGGAAGATGCTGCGAAGCAGTTGGATGCTCCTGAGAAGGAGTGGGATGCTTCTGACAAGGAGTGGAATGATGCGAAGAAGTTCGGAGATGAAGATAAGAGAAGGTGCTGTGTCGTCATGTAAGCAGTAAGAGTCGACGAAAGAGGACGATCGTGAGGCTTGTTCAATGAAACCCGCGGACTAAGAGTAGTAATACAAAGGTGATGCGAACAGCATCTACCCACACGACCAATCAAGTAGACTCTCCAAGTCTAACACTTCATCTTAATTCCCCTCCTCTTCTCATTCTCCCTCCATTCAAACATGAACTGTACACCGGTGAACAGCGCGCCACAAGCCGTAGCAAGGAACATCCAACCAGACCATGTCCCTACAATACCACGGACCAAGTCCTTAAGACCATCGACACCCAAGGCGAAACCAACAAGATTAGCTGTCATGAGCATGAGGATTTCGAAAACGGCGCCGACTCCGCATAACCAACGATACGCATCCGGGCTGTCCTTCCATTTCCTCGCCGGGAAGATGTACGAAGCAATAATCTCGGGGAGAACGAAGAGCGTGACCAGCCAACCCCACATCAGCAACCGAAGCTGGATATCGTGCCAGATCGCGATAAAGGTAAACACGGCGAGGTAGTTTCCAACCGATCTTGCCTTGCCCCAGAGACCATCTCCTCTGTTGCCACCCAGCGGAATGTAGAGGTATCTCAAACTCCATTTGTTGAAGCTACGATGCCAACCGCGCCAGAAGTGCATGACGGAGTAATTGTCAGACATACACCTCACCATGTTCTCGGGTGGATCGATGCCGTCCAAAAGTGACCAGAGACGAAAGAAACGCCACGGGATGAGCAGCTTTAGCCAGATGTGCTTTAGGTTGAAGAAACCTAGCATGCTGAGCTGGGCTGGCGTGTACTGCGACCAGTCGGGTCTCTCGTGGAAGATGGCAACCATGTACATGTAGTGGATCATAATCTCCATGGTCAACAAGACGACAATGAAGCGGACGAGGTAGAGTGTTGTTCGCTTGGTGGTGATGCTGTGGGATCGATACCGACATTGAGCGATGTAATCGTTGAACGTGATGATGGGCCCAGCGAGGTAGAGTGGCGAGTACATGGCATACGCGAAGTAATTGCGGAAAGTGTAGTCAGTAGGCTTGGCGGGTATCGTGACACGGTCCCGCTCTGAGAGGTTGGAGGCGTCGAGTTGTTTCTTCTTGATGTTATTAGCTATATCGAACTAAGGGTGGGTGGGTAAAGTACTTCAATGGAACTACCCGTCCGAGAGTTGAGACTCCAATAGTAATCGAGATTGAAGCTGATCAACCGAAGTATGGTGAAGTTGAAAAGAACCTCCCATCGAGGTATCAGACCACCATAGCTATCTAGAGTGTGACCGAAGTTGGATGCTGGTTGACCTTTCTCCGACAATGTGGATGGAAGGAAAGTGCCGAGTATGTTCGCATACGAGTAGCCGTCTGAGAACTCGTTTGCAAATAGAGTCCCGACGTTGAAGATCCATGTAGCAGCCGGTACATATTGTCGGGGAAGCTTCGTGCCGATGCAGTAGTTGGCATAGAGAATAGCGACAATCTTGAATGCAGAGAAGCCATGAAGAGCGGCAAGGAATATAGCGGCAAATAGAAGGTCGAATGAGATGCGCTGGTTCATACGGGCATCCGCTGCAGCACCTGGGGTTAAGCCCATAGTAAGGCCATTGCCGGCAGAGGGCCGAACTTGAGTATACGTACCCGCCCTCCAGAACGAATCGTAGGCCTTACGCAGAATAGGATGAAGCAGAACAACGATGAAGAGGTAGGGAATGTTCTGGCGGAACCCGCTGTACTGAGCATCGGTATTGTCCTGAGGAGTTAGACAATGGCATGTGACAGTCGATGTTGCAACGTACTACTTTGCGACCAGGTATCCAGCCATCTGACAGAAGATGTTCGAACTTCGGATAGTTTGGATGAGATTCTGCATAACGATCAGCTTCCCTCATCGTCTGCGGGCCCATTTGGACGAACCTTGAGAAACATCTAGTACCAACTTGAACATAAAAAACACGCTGGCTGCAATGGACACGTAGTAGAAGTAGAACTCCGGCGTTGACCATAGTGGTGCATGACTTCTATTCTCTAGACTCTTGTCTCCGTTTCGTCCATCTTTGACTGGTGCTGGTCCAGCGGGATCAAGTTTGGCCTCTTCGAGCGCCTCTTTCGGGGGTGCGGTGGCCGGTACAACGAAGCGTGTATCGAGGGTATCCAGCGAGTAGAGCTGGCGAATGAATTTGAGCGCCATTGTATTGCCTAAACTATCTCCTCATCTTCCAGTGTTCAAGGGACCCTGTGTATGTGCCCCTGAAGTATGCGGAGGGGAGGCGCGGGGGACAAGTGCGGTGATGGAGGCCAGGTCCGCAACCTCAGCTTTTGGAGTTCGCGTCCGGCAACAACTTCGCTCCAACACCAACGCCCATCCTGCAAGGACAGCGCCCAAAGCACCTCGAATACCCATTATCACGCGTCAATCAGGCCATACATATATCAACGAACTTTTGTTAAGCTTGGCGCATTGCGGTAGTCGCGCGCGATGAACATTCCCAACGCATCGACCGCACCAGCTGCGGGAGAGTACGCCGGAGGTACGCGAAGCTCGACGGAGCTTTACACGCAGCGCATGCTAATTGAGAACCATAGATGAGGTCTCTGCGATCGTTCTCGACCCCGGCTACTCGACCGTTCGCGCTGGATTCGCTGGCGAGGACGTGCCCAAGTCCGTCTGCCCTTCCTTCTACGGCCAAACATCCTCAGGCGAACACCTCTTTGGCGAGAATGCGATACATGCGCCGGTCGGCGGTCTCGATATTAAGAACTATTGGGGCTCAGACGGCATTGTAGAGGACTGGGATACGGCGACCAAGCTGTGGGAGTATGCGATCACGAGCCGACTCACGGGCGCAAAACCAACCGACCCTACCAAGAACGGGCTGAACGATGGCAATGGCGAGAACGAGAATGGGGAGGCCATGGACGTGGATATGGACGCGTTAGAAAACAACGAGAAGCCTCTGGAGGACAGCCCGCTGTTGGTCACGGAACCAGGCTGGAACAGCGCAAAGGCGCGGGAAAAGTACATTGAGATCGCCATGGAGGACTGGGGCACGCCAGCTTTCTTCTTGCAGAAAACTGGTGTATTGGCTGCCTTTGCATCAGGAAAGGCGTCAGGCATCATCATTGACGTCGGCGCGTCGCATACATCTGTCACGCCTGTGCTCGACGGCATGGTGCTGCGAAAGGGTGTCCAGAAATCGCCTTTAGCAGGTAACTTTGTCTCCGACCAGATACGGACGTCGTTCAAGCAAGCCCAGCCTGAAGTGCCATTGACACCGCACTACATGGTCAAGAGCAAGACACCAGTCGACGCTGGCGCACCCGCCCAAGCAACCTACAAGACATTCGAGACACCACCGACCGACTCCTTCCGTCTGAACGAAGAGGAGCGCATTCTCACGTCCTTCAAGGAATCCGTCGTAGAAGTCTGGCCCGGCCCCGGCCGCTTCAGCACCAACGAAGAGCTGGCAAAGAGCATGCCAGGCCGACCCTTCGAAATGCCCGACGGCTGGAACCAAGTCTTCGGCATCGAGAGGTTCCGCGCCGCAGAGGGCCTCTTCGACCACAACGCCGCGCTCGCCAGCGAAACCATGCCTGCGCCGAAGCCTGAACAGACAATCCCCCGACTCGTACAAGCAGCAGTCCAACAAGTCGACGCCGACCAACGTCCTCTCCTCCTCTCCAACATCGTCGTAACAGGTGGCTCGACGCTGCTCTACAAGTTCAACGAGCGCCTCAACTACGAAATCAACGCCATCTACCCCAGCACTAGGAACAAGCTCATCGCACCCGGTAGCGTGGTGGAGAGGAAATACGCAGCCTGGATTGGCGGCAGTATACTGGCTAGTCTGGGCAGTTTCCACCAGCTGTGGATCTCAAGGAAGGAGTACGAGGAGCATGGTGCTGGTATTGTCGAGAAGAGATGTCGTTAGGCACGGCGTGATGGATGCGATGCGGAGTCCATGTTTTACTGAGGGTCACTAGACTTCTATTGTTCTGTTAGGTAGTGTAATGCACAAAAGATTCCATGACTAAATGCCGTTCACATCGAATGCTTGCTTTGAATATCTGGTGAGGTGGTTCATTGATCGTCATCATATTGCCTTGTAGCTATCCGGCTGGTTCGTCTGGAACCCCGTTTCGGTGTATAATACACGTTCATGTTCGTAACGCCATCTTGCATCGCCCCGGAGCTAGAGCAAAACCTATGAGTCTATATCCATCGTCTCTGCTGTACCGGCTACATCGCCATCCTTGAGCTCGTGTACGGTCACGTACTTGCTGATCTCTTCCTTTGTGATGATCTTCTCGTTCAGCACCGCAGTAGTTCCCCGCTGGAACCTGTAGTTCCTCTGCTTGGGCTGCCTGGTGTTTGGTGTCTTGTAGTTCCTCATCAGAGTGGTCTTGTCCTCTGTGATGACCGCCACGTCCACGTTGCTACCGGAACCCAGATCGTTCCAAATACCTGCCTCGATGGCGTTTGCGCATAGTGTGACGGCATCCTCCCGCGACAGGTCGGACTTCCACTGTGTCTCGAAAACGGACATGGCGGCCAATGAACCGGAGCCCATGGTGACGTACGGCAGCTTGTCGGTGGAACCGTGGGCGTGGACGGTGAAGAGATGTGCGCCGGTGGGGTCAACACCCGCAATGACGAGGTAGGCGCCAATGTGACCCTGGTGGCGGAACAGGTGCTGCTTCAACATGGTCATGCAGGTAACGACGCGGGGCTTGCGGCCGGTGGAGAGGGCGTGCAGTTCGAGGTTCGAGGAGATGATGGCGGTGGTGAACTCGGTGTCGGCAGCGGTACCGGCACCCGCGCACCAAATGTGAGGGGAGATGTAGTGGAGTTTCTCGCAGTTCTGCGGTGCATGTCAGACCAGTGTCCATGGTGGTGGTTGTGTCTATGGCGGGGACGAGCCTACCTTGTCTGCTACAATGGGACCACTTGTGGCTCGTGTGTCTGCTGCGATGACTACACCGCCGTTGAAGAGACAGCCCACAATGGT